TCCATATTGCTCATTTGGTTCACTTGAAGGAAACGTATGAAAATCTCATATTTCTTCATAATAAGGTCAAATACAAAGAATATAGTTGGTTACTTTGTGGAGACTTAAGAGTCCTTTGTATATTGTTGGGTCAACAATCCGGTTATACAAAGTTTCCATGTTTTTTGTGTGAATGGGACAGCAGAGCATGAAATCAGTACTGGATAAAGAAGCAATGGCCACACAGAGTCAGCCTGATACCAGGATTGAAAAACATTGAACGTAAAAGTTTGGTTTGACACAAAGAAAGTCCTATTACCTTCACTTCACATAAAACTGGGCTTGATGAAGCAGTATGTAAAGGCCTTAGACAAAGGTGGTGACTGTTTCAAGTATCTATGTGGACAATTCCCAGCTCTGGGCCTCAGATTATGAAATTGACTTTGGATGAACAGTTTGGAAGGACAATGAGGAAAGTTGAAAAAGAAGCATGGATTGCCTTTAAAGATGTTAGTGACAAATATTTAGGAAACAACAAGGACCCAAATTATGAAAATATTGTCAATAACATACTTGATAAATTCAAAGAGTTGGGTTGTAATATGATCTTGAAAGTACATTTCTTACACTCATATATTGACTATTTCCCTGTTTTATCAGTTTTTCCCTGAAAGGTGTAAAATATGGTGAATAGGAAGATTCAACAGACTTAACTATACCTTTCAGTTATACTTCTGTGTTTTTAAACCAATAGTGAAAGTACAGTATTATTCAGGTATCCTTCACCTGTTTGTTAATATAGATTTTCCTTATTTTGGATTTAAAAACATTTCTAAATAAGATGATTACATCACATTCAGTTTTGCCAGATGTACATTAGAGGTATATGACAAATTTGCGTATACCTCTAAAGAATACTGAGGTTTTTTGTCATTTATGAAAACCACACAGAGTTGCATCTGAAATTGCGAATCTCCTTTTTGTATTTTTTTTTTTCAAATACAGTTTAGTTACTTTCTTTAAAATCTAGCCTTTTCTTTTTATAAGTAACTCAGAATATTAACACCATATAATAATTAAAGCTACATAGTCTTGTTAACACAAATATAAAAAAATAAATGAAATTTTAAAAACATCATAACTGTATGTACATGTGGTTAGTATCCATTGATTGTTTGGGCAACATTCTTTCATAAAAAGTATTCTGAAAGTAGTTTTATAGGTTGACATGATAATTACATTATTGTTTAATTGTGCTAATTAATTATATTTTTTCATACAGAAAAATCAAGATGGTAAGAAAAATGAAGTAGTAGTGTTAGATCCAAAAAGATCAAATGCTATTAACATTGGAATGACCAAACTACCTCCACCAAGGACAATTAAGACGGCCATCTTGAAGATGGACAGCACAATTATGAACAGGGAAGGAATAGAGGTGAGATTTTACAGCCTTATTTTCAACATTAAAAACTCTGTAGGCGTAGCTGCATCTTGTCTGAAATTCATTACCCACAAAATGATAGGAATCATGAAAACAAATAATTCCTTGATCACTTTTAGCTAATATTAGTTTTTTGCTTTAATAAGCTTGTCAGTGATACTTCATTTTGTAAATTAGCTTTGGTCAGAATGGGATGTTTTGAACTTAAGTGCATGTTGTTGGAATTAAATAGAATTAAGGAACATTTCAGAGGAGTTTTTAAAGGAGATATCATTAAAGAAACTCCAGTAGAACATTTTTTTAGCACAACATAAGACATTACCTATCAATACATAACATTTTTTTATTAAAGTTTTGAACATAATCTCCAGAAGCTCTAATCATTAAACCAAACAACAACAAAGGTTTGTCCTCGATATTAAAGATTATATTTTAGTTTATATAGTATAAGTTGTTTTGTAATATACATACGCATTCATATGTCCAATTTTTGTCTAGTCTTTCCTTTTTTATTTGTTTTATATAAAAGAATAATTAATCTTCTCCTTGTATTATCAACACTCCTGTTTCTAATTTAGTTTTCATTTGTGATAATTTCTATTCAGTTACCTACATAACATTTAAACTTTTATATGCTGAAAAATCATCTTGCTGCCTTTATTATTTTTAGTATACAATTTTATAAAAAGGTCTAATATTCTATAAGCTTTGTGTTATCTACGTGCTGTTTTCAAAAGTAATTGTATATCATATCTGACTTAGTGTTTCCTAAACTTTCGTTTTTTTTTCACATTTCTTTTATATATTTAATAAACAAATTGTAGTGAAATGCCACTACAACTCCACTATTAATAATGAGTTGTCATTGGTGAAATAAAAGTGATATTTTACCCATGTGACATTTTAACATTGATACATCAATAATTGTTAATTCTCTCACTGTAAGCATTATATTTATGTATTAAATTCTTTGCAGTAGTAGACAGTAGAACCCCCTTGAAGTTGTAAGGCAAAATGTTGGATTTGAATAGTTTTTCTGGAGTTTACTTTCGTTTTTCCTTGCATAACTAAGACTTTGTTACTCCAGTCAGCACTAACGCACTTGACCCTTAAAACTTGGCAAAGTTACATGCTGAAGAAACAGTGTTAAACACTTCTTATAACCTTCAAGTTAAACACAAAACAAAAGTATGATGTTGCAGTTCCTGAAAGTACACCTACAGTCATATGTGCATAATTAATGTGGTAGGGATAAAGAAATACATAACAGTTTTAATACCATAACTTTACTTAGGAATGATAAAAACATATGAAAATTGATACACGTGTTCTTTGTGAACATCTTTATAGCTTGAATTAAAAACTTTCTGAAATGTGATAGACAATTGGTAAAGATTTTTGAATTTAAAAAAATTCAAGCTATGGAAGATTGTAATATCAACAAGTGTGCTAAATTTCATGCTAAAATTGGCTTTAATGTTGAAATTATCATGCTAACTTCACCATTAAGGCTAACTTATCACCAATTTATTAGCATGATAACTTCACCATTAAGGGTAACTTATCACCAATTTATTAGTCATGATAGCATCACCATTAAGGCTAACTTATCACCGATTTATTAGCATGATAACTTCACCATTAAGGCTAACTTATCACCGATTTATTAGCATGATAACTTCACCATTAAGGCTAACTTATCACCAATTTATTAGCATGATAACTTCACCATTAAGGCTAACTTATCACCAATTTATTAGCATGATAACTTCACCATTAAGGCTAACTTATCACCAATTTATTGGCATGATAACTTCACCATTAAGGCTAACTTATCACCAATTTATTAGCATGATAACTTCACCATTAAGGCTAACTTATCACCAATTTATTGGCATCATAACTTCACCATTAAAGCCAATATCAGCATGGAATTTAGCACACTTGTTGATATTACACTCTTCCATAGCTTGATTTTTTTAAAATCCAAAAATCTTTATCAATTGTCTTATTATGAGTTTAATTATCACTAATGAAGGCATTAATTAAAATTAGTTGCTCATAACTTGTTCACATTTCAGAAAATTTGCTAAGTTTTTAATTCAAGCTATAAGGATATTTACAAAAAGCATGTGTATCAATTTTCACATGTTTTTATCATTCCTAAGTAAAGTTATGGTATTAAAACTGTTTATGTTATTGTTACGACAGCGGAATCACGCGATGCTGGGATCATGTGCGGTGGAGTTTCTAGAAAGATCATGAATTATCAAGGAACTCCGTGAATGTCCTAGTGTTTGCCAGGCACCCTCTTTTTTAATATATAAGCCTGGCGAAAAAAACAAGTGCAAGGGCATAGATAGATAGATATGCAGATAGATTCAAGAGATAGATAATTTAGTCAAGCAAACAGTAAGCACCATAAAAAAAGTGTATGAATCACTGTGATTTATAGCGTGTGTTATGAAGGTTGTTAAGTTTAAAGTGACTGTGGAAATTCTGTGTATTACAAGTTTGTATCTAGAAAGAATAAACTAGTTTTAATTAAGAAAGGACTTGTAACATTATGTATTTCTTTATTCCTGCCACATTAATTATACATATAACATATATGACTGAAAGTGTACTTTCAGAGATTATGACATCATTATTTTGTTTTCTGCTCAACTTGAAGAAGTGTTTAACAGTGTTTACTTAGTATGTACATTTGGCCAGTTTTATGTGTCAGTGCTACCTCAGAGAAGAATGACTTCATATTATTATTTTGCATTTTGGCTACAGGCCAACAAATTCAATATTTTTACTTGGCTCAGCTTCACATTTTGTCAATAAGTTAGCAATGAAAGTGAAGGGGTATTTTATTTTTTACTTACAGAAAATTCTCACTACAATGATGCCAACAGAAGATGAAAAGAACAAGATAATGGAAGCTCAGATGAATAACCCAGATGTGCCTCTAGGAACTGCTGAGCAGTTCCTACTTACTCTTTCCTCAATTAGTGAGTTAGAAGCAAGGCTTAGGCTGTGGGCCTTTAGAATTGATTATGAAACGTTAGAAAAGGTATATATATATATATAACACCATTACCCTCTCCAAAATTATAATTTCTAATATTTTATGAACATTTTTGATTTGACTTGTTTATTTTGAAATTAACTGATAATTCAATTTATTATTAGTCTAAAGCCTTGCCTTACTTGCATATATGGTATCATTCTTTTACCAAAACTAATCTAAATGACTGAAGTTATGTAAATCTATTTTTCTATCAAAGCGTGACAAGTGTTGGAAGTTAATCATTCACCAAGATAATGTTTTTCAAACGAGACCTAAGACTCGAATGCTTTCAAATAGTTCACTGAACTATTCAAAAGGCTTAATTTTGGGGTCTCGTTTCAAAACCATTATAGCTTTTCTATATGATCCTGTGTGCTAATGTTTTAATCAGAATTCACTTAGGTAATGTACCCTTTGTCCGTTTTTTTCACTACTCTACAAAAGTATGGTCTGTAATCATAAACTAATACTAATTATTTTTCAAACATGCCTGTGGAAACTTGGAGTAAAGATTCACAAAAATTTTCAGATATGGCTGAATGTCACACACAGAATGCATTCTAGCATAAACACTTTTTAACCCTGGTTTTTAACACAAGTGAAGTTGAATAAGTATAACATGAGTATACACCTCCGGTTTTTAACACAAGTGAAGTTGAACAAGTATAACATGAGTATACACCTCTGGTTTTTAACACAAGTGAAGTTGAACAAGTATAACATGAGTATACACCTCTGGTTTTTAACACAAGTGAAGTTGAAGTATAACATGAATATACATAACTTAGCTTTTTCTGATTTATTTCATTAATGCAGCTGAGGATGTGTAAACTAATAAAGTCTTTAAAACTTGAAGATATTTCTCTTCTCTGCTTTTAATGTTTTGGGGATTAACTTGATGTGAGTATAAATCAATACAATGTTGATGAAATCTGCAGGTTGCTGCAGCTAGAAAGAAGTTATAAATTTAGTAATCTAACTATTGTGTACAACATTTTATTGCAGATTGCATGTTTTTAGAGAATTGAGAAGCTACGTAGAGGTGAAAAAATGTGGAACTTATAAATTAAGTTATTAGAATAGCTATTTGACATTTTGAATTAATTGTCTTTTGTAATAGGAAGTAGCAGAACCTCTTATGGATCTCAAGCAAGCAGTAGTTGAAATAGAAACCAACAGTACATTCAAAATTGTATTGTCAACACTTCTTTCAATTGGAAACTTTCTCAATGGTGTTGAAGTAAGAAAATTAAGCTAATTCTTCTATCTATCTTTGTTGGAAGTTTGATATTTCAAGTGTCACATGTCAGAGCTTTAATTTAAAATATTTTTAAATATTGTATTAATAGTTATTACTGTGTGTTTTTTTTATAATTGTGTGTTACTGTAATTTTGTATCTGAAAAATGTAATTGCAAATTACTCTTATTTACTACCATATGAAACAGTAGTACAGAAAACAAATACAAATACTTTCTTTATGTATATTAATTGTATTTAATGTTTTAATTATATTTATTAAGTGTATATTGTAATTTTCTGCTTCCTATTATGCCATTATTTTCTCTCTCTAATGTTTGTAAAGTAAACTAGCATCACTAAATAAAAAGTTAAATAATGCAGTCGCTAAGATAATATAGGCTTGAAACTTGTATTTTCTTTCAAGATAAAAGGTTTTCAAGTGGATTATCTAGCCAAAGTACCAGAAGTTAAAGACACAGTACAAAAACACTCACTCCTACATCATCTTTGTCACATGGTCATGGAAAAATATCCTATGGCAACTGATCTCTATTCCGAAATGGGTGCAGTTTCTAGGTCATCAAAGGTATCTGTGATTCTTTTTTAGTAAAACTCTGTTATGTTTGTTTGTTTTTGAATTTTGCACAAAGCTACATGAAGGCTATCTGCACTAGCCATTCCCAATTTAGCAGTGATAGACTAGAAGGAAGGCAGCTAATCAACATCAACTGGGCTACTCTTTTACCAGTGAATAGTGGGATTAACTGTCACTCAACAGTACCCCCCAAGGCTGAAAGGGTGAGCATGTTTGGTGTTACAGGGATTCAAATCTGTAACCCTCAGATTGCTGATCAACCGTCCTAACCACCAGGCCAAAACCTGTTATGTGAGCTAATGCCTTGATTTATGAATGCCATTTTATGTTTACTGCCATCTGGTAGGTAATATCTTGCTACTGTATTACTTTAATAGTGCATTTATTAAACTACATCTGCACTTACTAATTTCTAGAACTGGTCTTGAAAATGTTTTTTATAAATGTGAAATTAATTTAGTGATATTGTACTATATTTTAAAGGGAAATCATGTATATATTATCTAAAACTACATGATTCAAGTTCATTATATGATAGGCAGACTCGTGACCTGGATTATTGTTAGTTTAGCCACATTATTTGTCTAATGAGTAAGAAACCTTGGAAAGTTAACTAGATAATCAAGATTTGTTATTATATAAATAAATAAATAAAATGTAGCTACAAAATGTAACTACTGTGTAATTTGCTGCATACTTTTTTATTGATCTAGTTCTATTAAGACGTTATTCATCAGCTAACTTTATCAGTGGGAAAGTCTATATTTCATCAGCTAAATGTTTTCAACTTTTTAAAATTTGTACTTCTAATGAAAGTTGGAAATAAAAATCTTACTTTCAGTGCAGAACATTTTATATATAAATAAGCACAATAAGAAATACAACATAAAAACCAAATGACCCCTATCACCTTTTATATGTGTGCTTCAAGTTAGTTAGATTAATGAAAGAAAATATAATAATTTACAAATTTTCTGCAAGTCTATTGATTTTTAAGTAGGTTAAATATTTAGCAAAATTTAGACAAAGTGTCATCACCTGTATTTTATTTGTTAATACTGATTCCATGGGATCACTTTTAGCACTACTATATTTTGGGCTCGTATTATATCTACTTTTTTATGGTTTGTTTTAAATATTGTCCATAATTTGAGAAAGAGTTCTTTATAGATATATTTACATACATGTAGTTGAGGCATAAAGCAGAAGGGTAATTTTGTGCAGGTAACATCACGAACACATCCAGTATGATGGAGAAGAAATACATTTTTATTTTGCTTTAGGTTGATTATGATGACGTGGCTAGAAATCTTACTAAAATGGAAACTGAATGCAAGGCATCCTGGGACTATCTAAAAGCTATTGCCAAACATGATGGTTTGACATCGATGAGAGTCAAGTAAGTTTATTTTCTATTCTTAAATGAAAATACCTTATGTTCACTTTTTTTTCTGTTGATAAAGCACCATAATTACTGCACATATAAGAAAGTAATTGTTTACACCAATTAGTTTTAACCTGGATATAGCCAAAAACCAGAGAGTTTCAAGTTTATTAAGAAATTAGTCTATTGCAGTTCTTGTTACTTGTGATTGGCAGTGACCACAGTTGTGTGATACTTTCATCTGAAACTTATTTTCCATAAAACAATTAGATGGGTCCACTCAGTAACAGGAGATTCATCAAAATATTTATCACTGAGTAGTTCTGCATTCCCTGAATAACAGAGTTTATGAGAACAAAATAAGGAAACTAGACACAATATAAAATACAAATAAACAATGTTTATTATTCCCATTATTACAAAGTGCATGTACGTGTATCTGACTGACTTGGCCAAGATCATCTGAGTATTTAATCTTTATGTTACCTACTTCTAAGGTAATATCATACTTATCCAGAACAACTAGTGTTGCCCACATGAATGGTCATTCTCATTCAAACACGGAAGGTCATAACCTTGAAGCATCACCTGACTTACCATTGGAGGACACTGTTGTTAACATCCTTGTACAATGTCCAGCATTACAGCCATACTCACCCAAGGTTATGATCAGGTGTTACCTCAAGAAAATGACAAAGAATGAAACCAACTTAACAACTTTTTTGACCACATGTTATGTGAAAATTGTACAAATCTGACACATTCTGAAAAACACCAGATTAAAATAAGCAGGGAGAAAATACATGATGTTCTTATGTACCAAAATTGTCGGTTATGCTGTGAATAATGTACTTAATAATTTTATAAATAATTTTACAATTTTATACTGAGATTTTGTTTTCTTGCTAAAATAAAAATATTATGTGGAAAGGCAATATAACTTTTATGGCTACTAAGCTGAAACTCATTCGCCTCCTTTTAATTTTATAATATATTCTGTGGCATCCTATCGATATTTTACTTTCTAAAAACTATTTGAAACTTTTTATCTAATTAGAAACAGATAAACGTTAAGGATAGGCTTCAAGTAAAGACTTAAGTTTGTTTAGATTTTAAAACTTACCCCTACTGGTAAAAAAAACATTTTTCTTATCTTAAATTTCTTTGATTGACTATTTAACCTGGTTCTGAATTCAAACCAGTCTTGTTTGTTTTGAATTTCGCACAAAGCTACACGAGGGCTATCTGCACTAGCCGTCCCTAATTTTGCAGTGTAAGACTAGAGGGAAGGCACCTAGTCATCACCACCCACTGCCAACTCATGGGCTACTCTTTTTCCAATGAATAGTGGGATTGACCATCACATTATATTGCCCCCATAGCTGAAAGAGCAAGCATGTTTGGTGGGTTGGGGATTCGAAACTGCGACCCTCAAATTGCGAGTCAAGCGCCCTAACTACCTGGCCATGTCGAGCCTCAAACCAGTCATCAACTTTATTATCCAACAAATTATAACTCAAACAGATACTTGTGAAACTTAATTATTAATTGACCTTACAATCTTATTTTTGTGTGTGTGTTTTATTGATGTAACAAAAAGTTGTTTTCCCAAATAATAAATTTTTTAAAACAACAATTCATTTTTGTGTTAATTATTTGGTTTTTTTGCTAATTGAATTTTTGTTCAAAGCCATCCCTAATTTTTCAAGTAATAACCTAGAGGAGTAGCTAGTCAACAACACCCACCACCAAATCTTTATTAGTGAATAGTGGGATTGACTGCCACATTATGTTGCTCCTGTGGCCATAAGGGCAAGCATGTTTGGGAATGGATTTCAATCCCTCAACCCACAGATTGCAAGTCAAGTGCCCTAACCACCAGGCCATTTTTGCATTATAAGTAATATTTTATACCATTGCTTTACCAAAAAGGTCATTACAGCCTGATTTAAATAACAGTTAGAGTAATAGCCTGTATTGTGCATTGATATTTATGTCACATTGGTACTAGTTTAATAATAAGCTATATTTAGTTTATAATTTATAAAACAATGTTTTTAGGAAACTAGTTACATATCAAGAAAGTATGCAAATATTGTTGTTTAATAATAATTATTATTTAATGTATAAAAATAAATATTGTTGTTTAATCCTACTTATTACTTAAACTGTAAAGGTAAATATTGTTGTATTTGATCTAGAAAAATTATTTTGACCTTCAAGTTTTCAGAAAAACATCTATAAATCTGGATATTTTAAATCAGTTTGAGATTTTCTTAAATTCCTTAAAGAACACGTTAATAAGCTCCATATTTGTGAACTTTTAAACAAATTCGTATTAATATTTCTTGTAGTTTTGAAACCTACATGTATATTTAAAGTGTTCCAATACACGGTTAAATTAAATTATGTCTATTGTTATTAAATATATTTCCTAGTGTAGTTATGAAAGTTTGTGTTAACTAAAATGTAATCAATGATTCAAATTAAGGTATGACACTCAAATTATACTCTTGATCTGACCTTTTGTTACTGGATTCGAGAACCAGAGTAGGATAATCATCAGAAAGAGATGAACTTTATGTGTTTACACAGACAACAGATTAAAATCATTTGGTTCTTTATTTTATCAAATAAATAACTCCTACCTGTTTATTACCCTCCTTTGAATAATACCTAATACTATTATCCTTTCTGCACAATCAGCCAGAAACTCGGACATCCTGGAAATTTTATGAAAAATGACGTTGAGAAATTTTTCTAGTTCAACTACATGCACATGTACTTATATGATAAAATACATTATCATATTTAATTTGTTTCCAAAAAACGATTGTAGCACTTTAAATATGCATGCTGTTAAAAAACATTTTATTACTGAACTTGGGAGCAAGAATCTGTAATATTTTGTTTAATTTCCTTTACAAATTTAATCCATGATGACATGTAAACAGCAGTGTGAGTTTGTAACTGTATACAAGTTAATACAGTTAGATTGGTAACAACAAAATTTGGACTGTCTTGTTTTGTAAATAGATAGATTAGGTCACATTGTCTTTTAAAACTGACTTATAACTGTTTGGACACATTATTGGTCATATAAAAAAAACTTGTTTACATATTTCATTAGCCCATATTTTGAGATTTACATAAATGATGAGGTTTTGAAATAATGTTTTAAATAATTGAGTTTCCAAAGCTATTATTAACACAAGATAAATTTGAAACATTTTTCAATTTTTCTTACATACGACTGATTTCTTTATCAAAACTAGTAAGGTTTAACATGAAATTTATTTAGTGTAGAGTTGAATCAAAAGACCGTGATTGTTTCGGATCTTTCAGGTTTCATCGCTTGATGGTATACCTAGGATGCCCAATTCATAACATACGTGATACTAGAGTCCAAAGTGTATGTAAAATCATCAGTGAGTTTGCCTTAGAGTATAGAACAACAAGAGAAAGAGTTTTACAACAGATTCAGAAGAAAGTTAATCACAGAGAGAGGAATAAGACTCGGGGCAAAATGATTACAGATGTTAGTATTCTCCATGTTTTTAGCTATTATACATTTTATGAAATATTTTAGTTAGCTCTTTTCTTTATAAGACATTGTTTCAGTTTAATTTAACTTTATGGTTAGCAGCTGGTCATATTAAACTTTAATTAGTAATATTTTTTGAACAGAATAACTGCGATAGGGGAAAAAAAGTACATTTTAGGATCAGACAGGTGCTTTTTTCTAAAACTTCTTTGTGATAAATAAATGAGAAAGTCAGGCTAGTGGTTAGATGATTTAATACAAATATGAAATTAAAATTTTTCCCCTTAACATAAACTTCAGATCAAGTAGATGAACTCTGAAAAAAGTAACTGTTGATAAATCCACCAAACTACAGTAAAACTGTTAATGTACTCACAGTAAAACTGTTAATGTACTCACAGTGAAACTGTTAATGTACTCACAGTAAAACTGTTAATGTACTTTCTTCCATTTGTTTTCTGTAGGCTTTTTTTGCTCCATTTTTAAACAGAGTATTTCTTTTCCTGCATGTAAATTTGATGCTGAATAACTTCCTTTTTTTTCCAAGTATTATCTATTGCCTTCAGAACTTTGATTAGTCACATTTGAGTTCTTAATATTTATGATTCATTTTACTTTACTGTATTCCAGGAATGTGTAGTGTCAGAAAGTAGGGCACATTTATACCTACTCAAGACTAGAATTTAATTTTCACAGTACCTGGAATTCCAGATGTGAAGAAGGTGTGAATGCAACATAAGACTGATGGTTAAAGGGGTTTAAAGGAACTCGTGCTCGTGGAAATTTAATTTTGTCAAAATATTTTTTTTTAATCCTCAAACTTTTAGTAACAGCATAATCAACCATCTTCAAGTGTTTTTATCTATCGAGTAACCTAAAGCATGTTTCTGAAATTGTGGTTGAAAGCTCGTGAATCAAATAAAAAAAAAACATGAAAGAACAAACTTTGCTCATAAGTCTTAACATACATGCACTCACATGTGAGATTATACGAGTTATCTGAAGTTCAGTAATAGTTTTTGTCAACAGTTGGTTTGTGTAAATAATGAGAAATTGTTTGATATGAAGCACACCAAAGAACAGTGTACATTATTTGAATCAAACACAATGTTGTGTGATTTTAAATACAAATTTTTACATATCTATTTTTTTTGTAATAAAATAATCCACTGTTTATTTTTTATGTGTGACATGATATTCAATTAACTGATTTGATATTCAACTTCTTCTGTCTTAGAAAGTTTAATCATTATACTACCTATATTTAAAGTAGAGAACATTTAATGAGATAAAACTGTTGACAAGAAACCCCACATAAATGCTTTGGTTGTGGGTCACCTCAGTGTTTTAAATGTTCATTTCAAACACATCAGTGTTACTCGTTACTGAAAGGTTTAATCCATGCAAGAGTTAAAACAAAATTGTAAAACTACATGAGCTATCTATATATTTAATCTCTAGTTATGTTGATGAAGACAGCCTTATAAGTAGCCTTATAAATACAATCACTTGTTAATTCAGTGTGTGTTCTGCAGTTGCACAGACTGCTAAGAAAGCATAACATGATAATATTGTTTTGTCTGGAATTACTTAATGTATATGTTTTTGTATGCTGTTGCTCTTTCACTTTCAAGTTCCATAATGTATATATTTTTGGTGGTGTACTGAGAACCGTATGAAAATCTAGGGTAATAAATAGTATTATTAGTGTTAGGAGTTAGAATATGGTAATGAAGTTCCACTATATTTACTTTGTAGTGTTCTTTACAAAGCTCTTTGAACTTTCCATTTATACATGTCATCTATGGATTATTCAGTATGTTCATGGACTTGCAGTTTTGTTGTTAGAAATAATTCTGTATTTAGTAAACATGAAGGATTGTATATAATTACTAGAATATTAAAAATGACATGAAACAGATCTGAGCATATTGAAATGATGCAACGTATTTTCTGTAAGTGCATAAATACATTAAACAACTGATAACATTTCTTGAGATAGATCGTGGCAGAAAACATCTATATTTTATTCAGATATGTTAATCAAGTTTATTTTTAAAATACTTACTGTTATTAAAATATTTAATAGTAAAAATAATTAAGTACACATAAGAAGTATGAACAAAGATGTTTTTTATACCCTGTCATGTGAAAGATAAAAATTTATAAAATCAGAATTAGTAATTTTAATATAATACAAATATACTCAACATAGCTTTGATTTGAAAAGGTATGACTAGTTGTTAATTTAGGATAGTGAAGTCTCCAATTGGATAATATAGCTATTAATACAATTCATCTCAGTATTTTCGAGATGATTATTTTGATGTAAACTTAGGACTTTAAAACAGAGAATAAGATTACTTATTGGTCTCAAAAAGGATTGATTAGGGAGCTTCGTATGAGAAAATAAAAAGTCAAAGATTCATTAAATTCTTTTAGATGGAAAAGTTCAAAACAAAAGAGCAACAAGCCGATCATGAGCTTCGTCAGTTACTTGGCAACGGAACTGACAGTGAGGATCAAAAGTTACAGAAATGGGGAACCATACCTGGTGTTAGAGGACGACCCAAAGGTTATTCTGGTATGTCAGTGTTACTAGTAAACTTTCTGACATACATAGATAATCAAACATTGTCTTAGTATAGTGAGTAAAAACATTTGTATATTGTTTTTCTGGTTAACATTACCAGAATACAGCCTAATTTTTAAGATTTTCTATTTCCCATTCTTTTTCTGTTTGAAAACTGCACATAGGATAGGTTTTTATGTTCAATTCTCTGATTTTAAATATGTGTTATGTTTGTAGCTAGATTTAAAAAAGATGTAAAAGCACATCAATATGTCTAAATTATTACTGTAAAGTCAACATACTATGTAATTTTGTTTTTCACCCATAATAATAGTAAACGATTCCTTTGATTTAGACGTTGTTTTCACTGACAAGGATCAGTGATGAACAGTGTTATTAGCAAATTGTGAACGAAATTTTTATGCTCTATAAATTTAAAAGAATGCTTTAAAATAGTATAATTATCTAGAAAGACTATTATAAAATAGTATAATTATTTAAAAAGACTATTATAAAATAGTATAATTATTTAAAAAGAATATTATAAAATAGTATAATTATTTAAAAAGATATTATAAAATAGTATAATTATTTAAAAAGAATATTATAAAATAGTATAATTACTACTTGATAACCTACATCATTGTGCAGAAATTTTACAATGCTATTAAATAACTGTTATATTTTTTGTAGTTATTTACAATGTCAATGAAGATGAATCAGTTGTGTAGGTTAAAGCATTTTTTATAAGTTATTTACCAAGCTTTATAAATATTTACCTTGTCATTTTTATGTGAACAACTATAAAGAGAATCATTCCTGTTAAAAATGAGAAACTTGATATTTACAAGAGAAAGATAACCTACTACCTTAAAATATGTTGTTGTTTTTCCTCTGTTTCTTGTGTAGTTTTTGTATATTATAACATTTATATGTTATATAAAAAATGACTCTTCTAGTTGAGTTTTTGTTTATTCAGGACCAGGGGGCAGCTTAGGACGACACAACACTCCCACACGTGATGAAAACCTGACAGACACAAATGATGAAATTATTGAAAGTCTGGTTAAAACTGCTACCACTCAGCCATCACGCAGTGAACCTCGGGTTAGGAAGAAGGCAAGATATGGTGACAGAAAATCTTGTAAGCATTCTATAAAGATTTTCTAAAGTAGTTCATTGTGGCAGTATCTTTATTGCTCTGATTTATAAAATGTAGTTTTTCTGTCAGCTTATTAGTTTAAGCTATATTTGTAACCTTGACCAAAAATACTAATATTCTAACCATTTGCTGGCCATTGTAAAATAGAGTGAACAACAAGTAACCCAAGCTTTTTATTGTCTTTGTGTGGTAAAACTATAAAACCTTTAAAACATTTAGATTGTAGAATATGTTGTTTATCCTAGAATTACCAATGAGTTCATCTCTCCATGAGATACATTTTTCAAAATCATTTATGCACCAAATTGCTTTTGGATCCATGACTTTTTTTTAATTACAGGATCCTTAATAACAAACGTAACCAGAAATACTTTAAATATTTTTGCTAATATCCCACTAATTAGTACCAGGATATCTGATTTCACCTAATTGTTGTGACCATTTCTTTACACTGAGTGTTGTACAGCCAATAATATAAAATGACTCAATATGATGTAATTTCTTGACTCCCTGGTAGTGAACTGTATGTAAACAAATCAGTAATATGATGGTTGAAATACTTTCTTAAGCTCTGATGGGGTCTATTTTTATGTCAGTTTTTAAATTGTAAATGCATGGAAATACCTTAAATACTTAAAACTTAATATGAATAAGTATGTGAGATTTAGTCACACCGTACTTAACTTTAGGCAGGTGTACTGCTTGGTTTAATAACTTTTTGATATTTAAACATTCACATTGTCTCAAACACTGGTTCTGTGGAAACCTAGGGTGACTAAAGCTAATTTTATGATATGATTTTTGCTCCTTAGTTTAATGTCAGTGAATAGAAAATATTGAAATAGTGAAACATTCTTGTAATCCAGTTTTCCACATGCAAGATTTGAACTTGTGACCTCAAGTTTGCTTGATTAATCTACCAGATGAGATATAGAAGTTAACTTGCTAGCAAATCACTTTTCAGCAACTGATGTCTGTGTAGTGAAATTGAACTAGCAGAATAAGAAATCTTCCAATATTGTATGCCCAGTAACAGCATTAGTAAGACTAATAATGACCAGATTTTAATCAAATGTGATTCACTCTTCCATGTTGAAGGCGTAATAACATAATTTACACAAAATCTCATAATCCAAGTATTTTTGAAAGGTGGACCGTTCTTCATCAAGGGCCTGATGAAGAAAGATCATAAAACAGTTTAATTAATATTTACTTCAAAAGGAAGGACTGTGTTACAAACAGCAAACCAAACGTATGATAAAATAGAACAATGAGGTTCAATTTCTTGTGGTGAACAAAGCACATATAGCCAATTACGTTGCTTTATGCTAAAAAAAACAACCACCACCACATAAATGATAAACCAATTTAAGTGAACAACATAGTGTAAATTTTCTTTTAATAATACAAGGAATTTGTATACAACAGCATTTTGCTGTTAAACTTGATTTCATAAAATGAGGTACATTTCAACAAAGTAGTTATTGACAAAAAGATAACTGTTTGACAAGACTCTGTCAGTCTGTAAATCAAACATCCAATGTAGGCTATAACTATGGTACTCTCAGGTCGAACTAATTTCCATTAAAGTGACAAGATGGGTTTGCAGAATATTTAACTAAGATATTTATAATGTAGTAATTCTGAATTATCCAAGGAACTGAGTTTCTGAGAGACAAATAAAGAGGCTGGACAAAAAGTGTGTAAGAAACAATGAGACAATCTTTATTCAAATAGAAGCGCAGTTTGTGCTTGCTTTAGCATGGAAGACAGTTGTTTTTAGTGGACAACTAGATTTTTCAATTAGGCTTATTTCCAAACTGCACTCAGTGAAAACTTCTACTAGAATGTCTTATCTTTGTGTTACTTAAGAAAATTAGTAATGTCAGACTTACCAAAAGTAATTAGCATTACCCCTGTGACTGGTTATTCCCATTAGAAAGCTAAAGGAGGTTGTAACCTTGAGGTGTCACGTGACTGATCCTTGAAGAGAATGACTGTCTACTTACATACACTTTACATCTCTTTCTTCTCATGGACAAACCAGGTGTTATCTCAAAAGAATGACACAGAACAATAGATAGCTAGAGCAACAGCAACCTAATGATTTTCTTGACCACATTTTTTGTGAAAAGTGTGCATATACCAGAATAACTTACTATTTCCAAAAAAAACACTATATTTAAAATAGAAAAGTAGAACATTCATGGTATGCCTGCATATCATAAAACTACAACACTCTGATAAACTTGCCAAATACTGATGAATTAGACATGGTCATAAGTTAAAGCAGATTAACCTCAGGTTAAAGAAATTGGCCTAAGCGTACTGATGAAAATGATTTCAACTATATAAAAACCTTATTAATACTCCTCAACTATGACAAGTTTTGTACCATCTCTACCAATCAATGAGTAAAAAATTTTTAAAAGTGGTGCATGGCACGTAGTGAAACTTTTTTGAAGGTATTCATGATTATTGCTGGATACGGCTCCGGGAGCAAGTTAGGGATAAGAAGATAGATTCCAAGGTCAATGTGAACTCTGCTTACTGTCAGATCAATGTTTTGGACTCTTTACACCACACAGCAATAGCAGCTTTATGTATAAATCAGAACAATAGGATTTGGGTTCACTGAGATAAGGCTTCCTGTCATACCTCCCATTAAACTTTTGCATAACGTTAATAGCAGGAGAATGAAACAGGCATTCATGCTATTCCATATGAAGACATACTAATTAAGTCATTGGATGCAACACCTATGAATTTTTATGTAATTGGACTGTTGAAACAGCCAGTAGGAAACTGTTGTTCTCATAAACTAGATGGAATATGGTAAGGCTGCAAGGAAAAGGGTGTGCTTTGGACGTGACAGCCTTAAGACAGAGCCTTTTCAATGGAAACTGTGTTGCAGGGCTATTGTCAAGATGCATGGCCATCAGAGCATGACTAGACATGGTGACATGAACTGTAACAACATAGTGAAGCTACAAAAGTTTATTAGAACATACTCAACTCTTTACTACAGAGGGTACTTTAGTAAAACTAGCTTATATTTTTTCATTATTATTTTCTGACTTTTTGTGGGCAAAAGTCTTGTTTAAAATAATAAATATTGTTAGTGAATAGAATTATTTTTATTTTATCTTTAAACGTTTAACAATTTTTGCTTTATTTAATTTCTGTAGTACATATTGGTGTATAGAAGACATATTAATACTAGAAATAAATGACTTTATCACACCAAATTGTTGTTTTTATTTAATCACACACTCAACGTTTCATTTTACAGTTTCTCTAGGAGCGTTCACTAAAACACAAACCAAAACTGACAGTTGAAGCTTTGTATTGTAAATTTGAGTGTCTAATTAAATAAAAATAACAATTTGGTGTTATAAGGTTGTTTATTTATAGTATTAATTTTTTTTTTAATATAATTAAGTTTGAGTTTAAAGGATCAAGAACTGTACAGTTAATACTCAAACCTTGTGACAACCTGTAAGGCATATTTTATAAACATGATGCTATTCTTTTACTTGCTATTATTGGTAACCTTTATCTGTTATTATAGTGAGGCGAACACTAAAGAGTGGATTGGATTTGTCGGAGGAAGAGAGAAGAAAGTTAACTACAACTTAAATAAAACATCAACTACAAGGAATGTAGCTGCTGCCAAGGTTTTAAAACAAATCATCACAAGCTTTATATCTGTGCTAGTGTGTGGTTGACTAAAAGTCAACATATAAGTCATCTTCACAAGTATGAACTTGCTCTGTGTGTTTTTAGACAATGTTTTTTTTCTTCAAGTGGATACTCAACGTGGTGTTGCATCTTGGGCCACAAAAGTGGCCCCTGACAGTTGCTGAAAATTAAAAATAGTCACTTACATTATTGAAACACTTGAAAATAACTGTGTTTATTCTTATTGTTTAATTGTAGTAAAGAAAACGTGATATGTTGTGATTATTGAGATTAATGTCAGTTTATTTGGTACAATTAATGAATCAAAAGATTTACTTGACTTCCAGAATCTGATTGTTCATTTCGAAACAATTATATATATAAAGCAGCCTGAAGTCCCCAAGAATCAAATCACATTCACAAACAGTGAAATAAATTACATACTTTTGTTCAATACTGTGAATAATACCTTGCAGCTAGATTGTAATATGTTCTAAAATTTGTACTGAGTTGTAATAATTCAATGTGTGTTCAAATTGTTACAATTTTTGAAATTAGCAGAATTTCTATTAGACACCTTTATTCTTATGCTGTTAAAAAAAAAAAAATGCATCAGCACTAATAATAGAATCTGAGTAGGAAGAAGCCACGAGCTTGCAAATTTCAGTTGAATGATAGTCATGGGCTGCTAATTTTAAACAAAGGCAGTAAATTTAATGTTAAGACAAAATTAATGTGCAACAGATCAGGCTGTATTAGCGTGTACATACGATAGTTGTAAACTATCTGTAAAAATCAGATTACTTCAACAAATCAGATTTGATGTCATTTTTCAAAAGAGGAGAATACTTATAATTATTTAAACAGTTTTTCGTTTTTTTTACTTAGAGGTAGATGCCAAGTTTTATGCATGGTTTCCAAAAAGCCTAACCCTAAAATAGCTAAAAGCTGGCAATAAAATAAAGAAGGTAAAATTTTCATGTAAAAAAAATCATTTTAAGTTAACTCTTTATTTTTACTAGTATCTTATCATTAGTGTATGTTTTCATTAAAACCATACAGCTTTATGCAGAAAAGTTTTACCATAGAAACATCTTTGATCCAATAAGATGGTGTATTCTTTTCTCAAAATATATGTAATATAAAATATTTGATCATTTAGGAATAAATTATTTGTTTCTTTAATTACTTTAGTTTTTCTCAGATTTAGAAGGGTTTACATGACGATTTGAGAGAACTTTTGAAAGGACCTGAATACTCGTCAGTTCTTGTTATCATAAAATTGAAATAATTGTGTTCTCAATTAAATGATAAAGTAAGATTACTATTGACTTGCCTTGTTCCTCAACAAATTGTTTACTTTCTTGTGGATATTTTTGAAGTAGAAGTTAGATGTTAGTATAATATTAGAGAGCTCCTTTCTTGTGCTTGCTGCAAACATATTTTGTTTTATAGTTCAATTCTAGAAAAGTGTATGTACATCTTTTCATGTTATGTTCTGAATACATAAATATTGGTGGTTATGTTTGTAATAGTGTGATTATAACTGAGAAAAGTGTTGTATGTTGTAGGATTTTGTACATAAACTTTGTTTTGTCATCTGTCTTGTTAAGTTGAAGTTGTCATGTGAAATATACATTCTTCTGCTGGAATAGTGGGGTTTTTTTCAATCAGCAAAATGCAAAAAAAGAACAAATAGAACAGTTTTACGATATAGTGATTTACTGAAACTTATAGTCAACAAAATACAAATAAAAAGCATGTTTCCATAAAAAGAGATTTAGTTTTAACAAGTGTTTGAAACTTTCCGGCTCAGAAAGTACCTCTTACTGTTGCTGCTATTAATTTGATTTATTGTGAATGTCCATCAGTTTCCATACGTGTCTTTGGAACTGACTGAGATTTCTGGACAGTCCTTCAGCTTTCATTCATATACCTTAACATTGTTTACCACTGAGCTATCATCTAATCACTGATATACACAGTATCTTCTATCTTTGTTGTTCCTACAAGGAACAAAATATCATTTGGAGTTTAATCATCCTTTTGTTCAAGTTAGTTGTACACTGTGTTATCTTCCTTCTGATCTTCCTTTATGAAAATTGTATTATATACCTCCACTTATCTTAATGGTTGACCTCTGTGCAACCAAGCTGGTTGATTTGAGTCTCATTTCATTGGCAATTAATATGATTTAAGCAAGGCTTTGTGAGAACTTGTAATTTTGGGCCATGTTTATGTGGCTCTATCTTGAAATTATCAGTATTCTATATATTACTAGTCTAAAATAAAGGCTTAAACTCAACTTGAATAAAAGAAATCAAGGCTCCCACGTTCCTACCTTTGACACATCTGGAGTTTCCCTAACTCAGGGTTTTCCAAATTTTTGCTAATCACAACCTCCTTTCTTGTAGGTCTTCATAGTCCTATTGAATTTATAACACCAGGTACTAAAATATTCAAAATCTATGGATCTCAGGTTTTTCCACATTTTTGCTAATCACAATCTCATTTTTTGTTGGTCTTCAGAGTCCTATTGAATTTATAACACCAGGTTCTAAAATATTCAAAATCTATGGAGCTCGGGTTTTTCCACATTTTTGCTAATCACAATCTCATTTTTTGTTGGTCTTCATAGTCCTATTGAATTTATAACACCAGGTTCTAAAATATTCAAAATCTATGGATCTCGGGTTTTTCCAAATTTTTGCTAATCACAATCTCATTTTTTGTTGGTCTTCAGAGTCCTATTGAATTTATAACACCAGGTTCTAAAATATTCAAAAATCTATGGAAGCAATGAACATAACAAAATCAATATGATGGAGTTGCCTGTTTGGATGAGCACATGTATTCCATTCACAAGGTCTGTGAAATATAAAAGCAGGTTATTTTCAAATAACAATCAGTTTCAGTAATTGTTTTTAATGGTTACTATCTTGAGAACTCTGACAAAGCCAATGGCTTGACTAAATTATTGTACAAACTTATGCAATACTGCAACTGCACAAAGACTGTCAGACTATTGTAATAACATTTTCATTTCATTTGAGATTTAGGGGTATTTCTGTTTATTGAAAAAATTTAAAAATTATTAATGTTTTACAACTTCATCCCTCATGGAGAATCTTCATTTTTCCCTTGGATTTAGTTTGGTTTGAATTTCGTGCAAAGCTACATGAGGGCTACCTGAGCTAGCCATCCCTAATTTAACAGTGGAAGACTAGAGGGAAGACAGCTAGCATCACCACCCACTGCCAACTCTTGGGCTACTCTTTTACCAATGAATAGTGGGGTCAACCATCACATTATAATGCCCCGATGGCTGAAAGGGAAAGCACGTTTGGTAGGACAGAGATTTGAACCTGCTACACAGGCTGGGAGTCGAGTGCCATAACCACCTGGCCAATGCCAGGCCTTTCCTTTGGGACTACTTCATATGAAATATTGCCTGGTTATGTGTCTTTCAAGTATGCTGGGGATTATTAATTAGTGACCTTCTCATATTTTCTAAGCAGACTTTAGGTCAGGTGCTCTGATAGTCTCAGCTCCAGAAAGCACTTCTGCTTGATACTCATCTTTAATGTTTATTTTGCGTTCAAGATAGTTGGTACTACAACATTAGTTTTTCTTAGTGCAAGTTTACAGATCATGTTAATAGCTTTTAAGCTTTCAATACACAGTCCCAAATAATCCAAAATACATTCTGGTGACCTGAGAAATATCACTGAAATAACATACATCACCTAAACAAACCAGATCCTCTCATGTAGCATTCTTGTAAGGTAATCTAAGTTATACTACAGTAATAAGTATAGCTATTTCTGTTAGTAAACAATGCTCATTAGTGTGGTGTAAAAATATAGTTATTTGATTCGATAAAAAATCAAGTAACACTTGGGAAATGTTTCATAATTTTAATCTAAAGTTAAACAATTAACCCTTAACTTTAACTCTATTAACTTGTTACTACATGACAGTTTTTTATGATTTTATATATAACTTGTACGAATTACAGTGATTTATTTCATCAACTTTGGTGTTCAACACCAGTAACATTCAAAACTTATTTTACACTAGAGTTTAACTCTTTAAATCGGTTGATGCTTAACTTCAAGTTACTTTAATAACACCTACCTTAATCCAGGAACCAGGTATTACTGTATTCATCTCAAACATCATCCAAACTTGCCATGCTATAAAATAATCAAAGCAGCAAAACACATAGTTAATTTGATATTTTAAAATTATTCAGTCAGTTTGTACTCTAAGAAGTAAGAAATTAATCACTCGTGGCAGTGTATCTTAAATAAACCTTGGCAAGTAAACTGAGTGCTACTTAGCTAAATCAACAACAGTTGTTTCTTTTTGTTGTTGTTTACTTTTATCAAAGCTAACAGATCTTTATAATCAAAGCAAAGCTAAAACGTGCACCACTGTAGAAGCTCTCGTTTCCCAAACCTGGGGTCATGGCAAGCTCTGATGGGGTCACAAGGAAAAATAATAAAATGTAGCAAACAAAGCTGAATGTGCCACAAAAACACATTACTGTAGGAAGCAATTTTTGAATAGTCAGGCCAATTCCACAACCAAACAATACGTGTAAAGCATCCCATTTCACACTGTTCCAACACACCGGGAACATTGACTTCAGTAGTCTATGACTTCTCACAAACTAACTGGGATATGTTCAGAACATACCTTAATTCGTCCCCTATTGAAATTGGTCTCAACATGTCCCGATTAAGACATTCACCAACAATTTAATATAATGGAAACTAACACCTGAAATATATTCTCACATAAAGGAAAGAATACGTCTCAGGCACCAATTCATTCACACACACATAAAGGAGAGAAGACGTCTCAGGCGCCAATTCATTCACACACATAAAGGAGAGAAGACGTCTCAGGCGCCAATTCATTCACACAAATTAAAACACTTATTAATCAAGAAAATATAATCATTAAATCTCAAACAACAAGTCGATGCCAATTGACATAACTTCTGCCATGCTATAGATAAAAGTAAAAATGATCCGGCCACTTTCTGGAAGAAAGTCAAATTAATCTGTAACCCTCCTTCACCAGCAAACAACACCAAAATAAAGTACAATAATTCCTCAACAGATCTGACCAAAGCCGATCTAGAGTATTTCACATCAGTATTCAAAACCCCAAACCTTCCTTCATTTGATCAAGAGCACCAAAACACAGTCAACAACTTTATCCTCAATAATGATGACATATTCAAACCAAGATTCCATATAGCACAAGACCCCGATAACAATTCGAACCCCCTCACATAATTATATAACACGTCCGATCACGTGTGCTGAAATTACAATGCACATTAAAAAAGCCAAAAAAAAAACACCGCCCCAGGCGAGGACTCTATTAGAAACATAGTACAAGTACTTAACATATCTGACCACTTTGTATAATCTATCACTGAAAACAGGATACTTCCCTAAACACTGGAAATCTGTAATCATTATTGTTATCCCAAAATCAACCACTGATCTACAAAATCCAGCCAACTCAAGACCACTAAGTCTTCTAAACTCTACAGGTTAATTAGTGGAAAGAATAATCGTTAATATACTTCTATTCTACCTAGAAACCAACAATATCATCACTGACATACAAACCGCTAATCGCTAATAGACTTCTATTCTACCTAGAAACCAACAATATCATCACTGACATACAAACCGCTAATCGCTAATAGACTTCTACCTACCTAGAAACCAACAATATCATCACTGACATACAATCTACTAATCGCTAATAGACTTCTATTCTACCTAGAAACCAATAATATCATCACTGACATACAAACCGCTAATCGCTAATAG